ACAAATCAGTCTTACTAACAAAACAGAAAATAAAGATGAGTATATTTGGGACAGAAAATCCTGACTTATTTAGAGAAAATACTAGTAACCAAAATAAATAAGCATGCAACTAGTTTTAGCATGAAGATTTTGAATGAGTTTTTGCAAGTGCTCTGTGTTACCACCATTATTTTCAGGAAAAAATCAAATGGATTGCCGCATAAATAATAACAACAGTCAGCATAATAATAACAATAGTGTTGCATTATGCATGTACTATGCCTAAATAGTAGGCAGGGTTTGACACATAGTGCACTCGCCTCCGGCTCGTGCACCAAGTGTCAAACCCAGCCTACTATTTAGGCATAGTACATGCATAATGCAACACTATTATATAAATATATGCTTTTTAATATACCTCCGGGTTATGTTTTTATTTATAATTTTTGTAGTTAATCTTTTGTTCCAATATTACGTCATTTAATTCATAAATGACCATTTTAGTCTTTTGTTCCAATATTACGTCATTTAATTAATAAATGACCATTTTCAATTCTAATTTGTGTTTGAGTGATTTATGAAAATCAAACAGAGCCAAAATAAATGAGAGCAAAGGGATTTGACAAAATGTATATTTTATTGAGTACACTACTATTTTATGCTCCTTTACACCCCGTGGATACTAACATCTGATCACGTGTGTTGTTTTTTCTTACCTTCAATTTTTTGAAAAAATCTGTTTATCCTGGAAATTTTGTCAACCCAGCTAAATTTTACATTAAAAGAAATAAAATCTTGCGGTTGCCCCCCCCCCCTCCACAAACTGACATTGGTTCTTCATACGGACACATAAGAAATGTCATTTATTCAGTTATTCTATACAATGCCGATTAAATTTCCTTTTAAATATTTTAAAATCAATTTCAAAAGCAATACTATAGAAAATAGTTTTATTTCTTCTTTTTGCAAGATACAAATATTCTATCTAATTTTTTGTTTTTCTCGAGATTTATTCAGAAGAAGAAATATAACGAATGCAAAGAAATCGCAAATCCAGATGCATAAACACACAGCTAAACAAATGTTTAGGATACTTTGGCTAAATGAGATATGAGAAAGAGTTTGGAAGTTCGTGATACTTCGAGGCTTATCATCAAACTTGTTTAACTGACGAACTATGGGTGCCAGTTCGCAATAAACGTCTCTATTTTGATGCAGGATGACCACGCGCCCCTATATCGTCAGCTGATTAACTTTCCCGCTCAGCTTAGACAAAAAAGCGTAAAATAAGAGACGTTTCCATTTCTGCGCCTTTAGAGGGAAAGGACTATTTGATGTATCTTCTAACTCTTCTGTTTTCAGGTACGTTCTAATGTTACATTTCATTTCAAAAATGTTTTAAAACATGATTATTTTTTTTTCAGAGAGATTTGATTTTATATATCATGACAAAGATAAGGGCATTGCTCATGTTCACAATATACTAGAAACGTTAAGATACGAGAGATGTTCAAATCATGAGATGTTCTAAGTTTTACATGTAAATTGTGTCAACTTTAGTTTTCTCTCTTGAGCCCTTTTCTTAATGACATTTTCTTACATAATTTAACAGTATATGAAATATAAATCAGAAAGTTTTTTTTTCTTCTCCTGACTAAGTATATAAGATTATATACATTAGGAAACTATATTTAAAATGAAAGACTGTGTTCGGAAATATATCTACTGCCTTATCTTGATACAAAGCTAGTGTATAAATATATTAGGGAAAATGAATGTAAAGAATACATAAAAAAAGAAAAAATATTCCAAAATAATCTGAAAATAAAGTCATTTAAGTTGCAAACGATTGCAAATGGAAAATCTGACATCTTTTTTCATTTAGTTCTTCTTATAATTAACTTATTTATTTCAGATTTGATTTCATTTTACATAATGATAATATTTTTGTATTGTCTTTTGATTATTCACATTCTTTTTAACATATGTAATGTCGATTGATCAATGACATTGAATTAAATGAATATTGGTCATTTATATAACTGTTCATAATTAAAAAAAACAATTTTATTGTATGATATTTAAATTGTCTATTTATACGAGTATATATTGAAATGCCTTTCTGGGCCCTTGATTTGGTAAATAAAACATCTTGTATGTGTTCATATATATATACATTTGTGGTATCTCTCCATTATATAAACATACAGAGAACAAATATCTTCAATTCTGTATGAAGTTTGCCCGAGGTCAGAGGTCAATACGTGACCTAATCACACGGCGCAATGATCTCTACCGGTACAAAATGACTTGCTTTACCTGCTTTTCATGTATAGAAATGAACAAAATAAGGAAGTAAAATAATTATTTTTTATTTACTATGTAAACGAATATTTCATACATTTTTTTGGCTATCGATTTAACCTGCGTACATAGAGAATATACACATGAAAACTAGCGTTTGTTTACAACTTTTATCAGTTTTATCAGCTGCACAGTCTCTAACGTTTATCCTATTTTTTGGGATAACCTTTAGTTAAAATTCCATGAAAAACTATAATATTTTCATTAAATTCTACTCACGATAAATGTGTAAATCTGTTGGAAAATATCAAAGCATTGCAATCACACCACAAACAGCTGACAAACACTTCGGAGTGTCAGTAAGCTGTGTCTCCGTTACAGTTTTCATCATAAATATGCCTTTATTCATTGAAATCGTAGATTGAATGTTTTTGATCAAATCCATTTGATTGCAAATTGACTGGCTCAGTCAAGTGTTTCCATCCATCGGATCCATCCATCCCTTTCTGGCGACCGAAATTCCTCCAACTTTTTATCATCAATCTTCGATTCGGACGTGTTTCTTGTGTCTTTTCAGCATTGGTTATCAGTTTTCACGAATAAAAATATTCCCAGACAACAATCTGTTCACTATTACCGATCAGAAGTAGCCTTTCACAAAATATTCCCTTAGAAATAAAATCCTAGCTTAGCCTGGTGACTTCGAAGCGTAACCGCCATTCAAGCCGATTTACACCTTGCGCCATTTTTCAAAATCTACAACGGACGGTTAGTGCGATAATTTAATTCGAAAATATTTAATTGTCTGTCTCAAATGTATATATAAGTAATAAATAACAAGTTTATAAACTATAAAATCTTCTGAGAAAGCCTTCGGCCTTCACAGGATTTGATCACGTGACCGACCCACTTCAATTCCCATTGAAGTTTATAAACTTGTTATTTATTTCTTAAATATTGAACTTTACCGTACTCTCCAACTCATCTGAAATGAGATAACAGTTGTCTCCCTGCACGTGACCTGCTCTTAACCAATCAGATTAACTGTATAATTCTGAAGGATAATAATACAGAGTGTGACACATCTGTTTCATATTTGGATATTTTACTTGAAAAAGACGTTAATGGTAATTGAACAACCAAGCTCTTTGATAAACGTGATGACCTTAAATTTTCTATAGACAATTTTCCTAACTTATATAGCAATATACCTTCATCACCTACATACGGAGTTTATATATTTCAGATGAATCCATACGCAAGAGCAAACTCTCAGCATTTTCTATGACTATAATTTATTTACAAATAATTTCCTAAAACAAGAATACTATCGTTTAAAGTCTCCATTTCGTAAGTTCCTTCATCCATGCAATGACCTTGTTAGTAAGTATAATGTACAATTTATTGTAACGTGCGCCGAATACACAAATCTATTTATAGCTCGCTGTGACACACTTACAACAACACACCAGCCAAAAAGAATTATAACTTTAACAAATTTTAATGATAGAAACAAATAATAATAATATTAAACAAACACACAGCTACAGTTATACACAAATTGACAAAATAAACAAATTCAGACAACGTTTACTCAGCTGTTCATTTCACGAATGTCCTCCAGTCCAGATCGAATTACACCACTCTATGTACATCAAACGCTATGGACGGTCGTTATTAAACACGTACTTCCACGGTGCACATCAGTCGAATTACAAAGTACGAAAACCATCAGTCCATTGCCGAGATCTGTCATGTCTTTCAAATCCCGTTTCCTCGCAGACGATCGCGAGCTCGTGCTGATGTTGTTCAGCTTCCGGAAATCCTCGTGATGTCACACAATAAAAATAGCAACTACCGCTGACGTAATGTCTATTAATAATTTTGATAACATTGGAGTATCGTATCGTTATCAGTGAGTCAAATGCTGACTGACATTTTTCATACTGATCGATCGGTCATTACATAAACACTGTTTTGTCGATTTTTCATTCTTTCCAAAACATGACCATGGACATACGGCGGGTGTGACCGATTGGCAGGGGATGCTTACTCCTCCATGGCACCTGATTCCATCTCTGATGTTTGGAGGTCGTTTGCTCTGCTCAAATTTTTAATTGTTTAGTGGACTTTTGAGCTTGAATATTGTACGTTATCTCAATATATTTTATTGAGCACACTGCTCCTTAACATCCCTTAGATACTAACATATCTATCTTAAATCTTATATTCCAAAATTAGAATCACAGGGCTGCTCCCCCTCCACAAACTGACATTGGTTCTTCATACGGACCCGTTAGAAACGTCATTTATTCAGAAATTCTATAAAATGCCTTAAAATATTTTAAATTCAAACTCAAAAACAAAAGCTATAGAAAATAGTTTTATTTCCCCTTTTTTGCAAGACAAAAATATTCTATCTAATTTTGTTTGCATTTCTCGAGATTCTTTCAGAAGAAGAAATGTAACGAATGCAAAGAAATCGCAAATCCAGATGCATAAACACACAGCTAAACAAATGTTTAGGATACTTTGGCTAAATGAGATATGAGAAAGAGTTTGGAAGTTCGTGATACTTCGAGGCTTATCATCAAACTTGTTTAACTGACGAACTATGGGTGCCAGTTCGCAATAAACGTCTCTATTTTGATGCGGGATGACCACGCGCCCCTATATCGTCTGCTGATTAACTTTCCCGCTCAGACTTGTCCTGAAAAAGTAGACAAAAATGCGCAAAAAAGGTTTGTCCATTTCTGCGCTTTTAAAGGAAAAGGAATACTTGATGCACCTTCCAATTCTTCTGTTTTTCACGTTGGCAGGTAAGTTCTAATGTTATGTTTCATTTTTTTTAAGTGATTTAAAAAATGATTATTTCTTTACACAGAGATTTGATTTTATATAGCATGTCAAAAGATAGGGGCACCGCTCATATATACAATATACAAGAAAGCTGAAGCTAACTTTTCAAATAAAGAGTTGTTCTTATATTACTTGTATGACAACATTAGTTTGACTCTCTTGAATCGTTTTAATTTATGGCATTTTCTTACATAATTTAAAGTTATATAATAGGTATTGAAACTTTGTTTCCCTTGACTTAGGATAAGACTAATGCATTAGGAAACTATATTTAAAATGAAATGCTGTGTTCGAAAATATATCTACCACCTTTATACAAAGTTAGCGTATAAATATATTTGGGGAAAATGAATGTAAAGAATATGCAAAAACAGAAAAAAAATACTCCAAAATAATCTGATAATAAAGTTATCTCAGTGGTAAACTATTGCAAATAGAAAATCTGGGATCTTTATTCATTCAATTCTTCTTAACTGTATTTCAGATTTGATTTCATTTGACAAAATATTTTTCTGTTGTCTTTTGATCATTGACATTCCTCTGGACATGTGTATTGTCAATTGATAAATGACACTGAATATAACGAAACTTGGACATTTATATAACTGTTTATAATTAAAAAAAAACAATTTATATTGTAAAATATTTAAATTGTTCGCAGTTATATATATTGAATTGCTTTTCGGGGCCCTTGATTGGTAAATACAACATCTTGTACATGTTCAATAAACATACTGTGTTTACGGATCAAAAAATTGAGGAGAAACTAAAAAATCTATAAAAATAAATTATAAAGTAAGACTGGTTTATTTTTCTCACTTTAAAAATATGAAAATTCAGATCTAAAAGGAGAGAAAGAAAGAGAGAAAATAGAAAGAGAGGAGGGGAGGGAGTGAGGAATTGTTTAACTTAAAGTCGGCTAGCTTTAGTTATGTTTACATGCAAAATGAATCTTTTGAACTCTGTTAATAATTTGTTTATGTTGTAGACCTATTACATCTGTTTTTCGCGGACATGCTTCTTAAAGTACAGTCTTCTCTCATGTATATTTTTTTCATTCATGTTTACAAACACATGTCGCGAGGACATACTCGGCTTTCATAATTAATATCCAACTCCCGTCGCTTTGGAATACACATTTGGCTGCAGCTCGGCATCTGGTTTTTTTTCTGGTTTTAAATGAGTAACCTCTTTGCAAAAAAAAGTTACAATGGTGTAAATGTCGGTAGAAAAATAACAGCAGCCGTGTATTGTCATAACATTTAAAGTCTTGTTTCAGCAATCGACAAAAATTAGAGGCGGGATGGATGTTGAACATGTGTTAAGAGGGAAAGTGATAAGACTAAACGACTCCTCTAATCTATTCTAATGATTACGATAAGTCTTAGGAATAAATCAATCACGACATGATTTATCGCCACAACTTTACTCTGACAAAAACAAGACAGCAAATTGTTGGATGTGGTCCTATCTTTGGTTTATTTTAACAAGATTTTTGTGATTTCTCAAAACATTGCATATTAAAAAACAAATTAACTTCTTTTCTTAAACTTTAACATTGATGATTGACATATATTTTTACATATTAAATTTGCAAAAGCTTGATAAGTAAATTAAAGTTACTATCGAAAAAAAATCATATTTCAGTGAGACAGTAAAAACCATCTTTTATAGCACATGCCATGTTTTTACACGTTTTCCCTAAGTTTAGGTGTTATCTTATTTTTTGGAAACTTCCAGTAGAGTCACAAATTGACACGATATATATGAGGGTAAATAACTCCCCCGACTCCGTGCCTTTAATTAGAGCTGGTGGAGCGTTGTCTGTTCACTACGCTGTTTATTGTTTTCAAGACGCACCTGCTATAATTAGGGGAGGATAGAATCTTTATAGGGTTATTACTACAGTAAACAGGTCTCTCTCTGTCTGTCTCTCTGTCTCTCTCTCTCTCTCTCTCTCAGATAAACAGGAAAATATAGTTTCTTATTTTAAGATGGGAAACAGGAATAAATAGAACGTACGTACAGTGTATCTGAAAAAAAGAAAAATGACAAAATAATATGCAAAGAGTGTTTCCAAACTCAGAAATCTTATTACGTTGTGGATGAGCGGGAAGGGGGGGGGAAATAATAATACAGTATACATCAATTAGTGCCATGGGAGGGGGATGATCATGCAGCCATTTAGTAGACAAGTTTAATTGTGAAATAGCTAGGGTATTCATATGAGTGAGGATATATGTATAAAAATATCATATATTTTATACTCTTTAATTAGTTAATAATTTAAAGGTGAAAGTTGAAATAAACTTTGAAATTTAATGCATTTTCTTACTATAGTACATGTTTTCAATCTTTAATTTTGTTCTTACTTTAATTAAGGAAGCCTCGGTGCCGATTTCCCATATTGCCCGAGCCCAGTACAGAAGTACGCATTTGAATGTTTCACCGACTACAACACTCAGATGTTAAACATGAAGAAAAGCAGCGCCACCCTATTGTCAGGGGTGGACGTAGAAATATTGCGGGCTTTCTGCAGGTAGCAGCATGAACCGACTTATACTCTTTCATATAATATGTCATGACTTTCATAATCCAGAATACAATACTTTATCAGATGAAAATATTCAACTTAAGATGACTTCATTTAAAAAAAAAATTAACTGAAATGACCTTCTATTCATGAATCTTAAAAGTTCTGTTCTATATTTAACTCTTATATTAACGAGGCCCGATCTACTTGATCTGTGCATGCATACGTTTTAACGCAGCGTCGACTCAGGCACGTCACAGTACTCTGGACTGCCGTCACAATTGAATACAATAACGTCATAATTAAAATGACGTCAAATTGCGCTAAAATGTTTCGCTGATCTACCTCTATAGACTGTGCTTGTTGAAAGCTGGCTAATTCTGGCATTTTTATTACTTATATGTTTTTAGAAAATATGTTTTTTTTTTCAAATTAATAAACAACTTTGAAACATAATTTAGTTTTAGGTACCAATTTCTTGGTACAGATTCATTAATTTTATCTTGCTTCAATTTGTGAGTTAAAAAAAAAATCCCACTGCAACCAGAAGTAAACGATTTTAGTCTATCTCCTCGAACATTGAAGTGTTTATAAATATTCTCCACTTTTTATTGAGCATAAAGAGAAAATTATGTCATACTGCAAAAATAATTTAATTTTTAGAAACTTATACAGTATTACAATCGTTTGTTGGTCTTATGTAGACCTATTGCAACTTATAAAATGTCTAGTTGGATAAAATGAGTCCTGTTTTTGTGTTTTGATATGCCCCCTTTTCACTGCAATAAAAGCTATCTCCGATTTTCTTTTCATTTTTTTAAAAGAGGGATGTGAATTGCATGATATTTGTGAACATCAAAACATTTTATCATCTATTTATTTTTTAATTTGTCAATTCTTTTGTTTATTGTGGAGTTTTAGTATGTAATTGTGTATAAAAACACGAACAATGGTCCATATCTTTAAAGTGCCCCCATTTGACTACAATAAAGGCAAGGTAACAAAATTTCATTCTAACTTTTTTTAGCATAATACATACAAATTTATTTCCAAGAATCAAATTTTTTTTATCATTTCGTTTTCGTAATTTCCAACTAGATTGGGCCTCGTTAAAAAACAAATTTGAAAGTGTTTTTGAAAATTTGGGGGAACGGGAAAACATGATAAATACTGAATAACTCCCTCTTCTAAAACGAGAAACATTTGCCAGAACTGTCAACATACATTGATATAGCTACTATACCGCGTAATCTTCAAACGAAAAAAAAAACGCTTTATATAAACATTTGAATTTCAGTATATCCTATCAGATATATACTTTTGACGTTTTGGAATGTGATATGTTGTAGTTCCTACAATACGGCCGTAGCCTGCATCGGGAATATTAAGGAAGTATGCCCCAAGTCTCTCCACCGGAAGATAGAGGCTACACAGATGAACCTGGAGGGCGCCCATTCTGAGCTCTCAGAGCTCTGCTCCGACGACAGTATTTATGAACGTAAGACGCACATTTTGTAAAGAAGCACGATTATTTTGCTATTTTTATGGGTACAAGCGCATGTGTTGTGCATCATATGGCCTTAACTTCACCCCGAGGTTTATTTCTCTCAATGAAAGCATCATCTTGTCGAACATTGAAACAATGGTACAATGATGAAAAGATTGATCAAACAATTGATTCTGACAATTCTTGATATATCTTAGATTTATATTGTCATATCTATCCTAAAGCACTGTTTCTGAAGATATGGGTACATACATGTAATTAAATAAATTCCTACAGAATAAAGTTCATGGGAAACTTACAAAAACAACCAAGATGAATAGATGACCGGGGTATGTAACCTTTGGACATAAGGTTTGAGGAACTCTTTCAAGGGAAGGGGGATGTTATGCTCAATCCTAACCAAGTTAAAGTACAGTGTATAAATTTGTAAATTTTGCAAACTTACATAGAAGTGAAATAAAGTATTTATATTGTAGTGGATGTGAGAATCTTTACCCAACCGTACTGAAATACGTACAATAAAAATGTCCACACTTAATTCAAATTGTAATAGAATTTATATCAAAGACAGAAAAAAATAAATAAATAATACCCTATAAAAAGAATATTTCGTGATCAAAAGGGATATCTCGACTGCAACGTCAAATGTGCTTTTTAAAGACAATTGATCGCCTTAATGTGCTTCGAACTGTAGACAGACTTCAAAAGCACGCAAAAATTTGTGTACAATGGCCATTTCAATTTAATCATTGAAAGATGTATCTTAATTTTTCAATCCTTATTATTGAAAATTCTTGCTCTCCTCACACATACAGCAGTTAATCAGTAATCTTGTCCCACTTTAGGTTACGCCCGCTATATGGCTTGTTTCCGGGAATTCGGGCCATACTCGGAGAGCTGCTTTAAAAGGGAGATGAAATCCCAACTTCGACTGATGCAGTGGATAAGCGAGGACGATATATATCAGTTATGTAGGTAAGATCTTAAAGTATCTAAAACCGTTATTCGATTAAGAATTTATACTTATGCACACTAACCCTTTGATCGTTACAACATATTTATTCAACGATTGCCATTTATATCATTTCCATGCCTTCTCATCCTATAGAGATCTAGCCCAAACCTTGGATTGCATTACCTCCACAATAACCATCGAGTGTGGACCGGAAGCTGCGCAACTTGTACCCGTTCTTGTAAAGCCCATGGTTAAGAAAAGCTCAAAGTGTGACGTAATATCTACAACGATATTTGAAGTATCTCCTACCACGGCAAAGCGGCGTAGGCCGTACAGACAGGTAGATTCATATGTTATTGCGTGGACCCTGAGGTCCACGCAGTAAATATATAAGCGAAGTTAAACCGGATGCCCTGGGCATACGCCAGGCTACGCATGCGCTCGAATTCTAGAGAGTCCCAATCGGTAATCCTCCGCTGACTCCAATACACTAATCGCAACTTCTCGGGCCTTTCTGACTAGATTTCCGACCTCTGACGGAAAGACCCGAGATGATACGATTGAGAAATCATTGGCGGATCCAAATTTCTTTCTTATACACATAATTCTATATGCAAATTAAACATTGATTTTATGGCACAAGCATTTTAAAAAGTAAGAACTTGCAATATATAGATTACTTCACAACTTGAATTAAATACTTCATTCAACGACTAGTGGACTTTTACGAGAAGCACTGACTTTTACAGTTGACTGTTTACTTGGATATTTAAACCTGTGTCATCTACGGAGGTACAGAATTTGAAATGGATAAGAAAACATTTCTAGTGGTCATAGTAATGGTGTTTGGGGCACTTATATGTCAAGGCCTGGATTTGAGTGTAGGATGATTATCTTTTCTTCTAGGGCAACTTATCTGTGCTTTAAAATAGCCCATTGTTTTCGTTTAATTAAAGGTTGAGCTAAATATTTATATCTTAAAAGAGCTTCCATACACTGTCCTAGTGTGAGAGTTAATCGTCAACTGTAAAAGTCAGCGCTTCTCGTAAAAGTCCAGTTCTAGCTTTTTAAAAGGTTGAACAAATCTTCACCGGCATTAGTTTTGTGAATCAATGCTCGCAAAATAATTTGATTTACAGGAATCCAAATACAGCTTGATACAAACCTGTAACAACAGTTTCCCATGTAGGGGAGAGGGGCGGGGGCTCCGAAAAAAAATCTGCGTACTACAGAGCTGTCTTACAAGTGTACCATCAGATCTAATTTTCCAATGATAGATTTCGTCCGAATAAATCTAGAATACTAGTATATGTAATGTCCCAGCCATTATGGTTTATTTGTATCAAAATAGCTCAAATATTTAGAATGACAAAACTATATGCAAATCGGAGATATAATGTAACAATTTTGCTATGACATTACTATCGATCACAGTAGGCAGATTGTTGTAGAAAATGTGAACGAACCTTCATGAATATCCAATAAACTAAGAAATTTTCTTTGATTGAATTTCGGTTAGAAACACATGCATATGGTCCACGTATTGTAGTCCTTTTTTTAAAGGACAGCAACTTGTTCTTGATCATTATTGATAATCCAGCTGTTGTATTGTCCTTTCTTGTTGGTCTATAGATGGTGATCATGGTGTTATATCAATTCTAACCGATCATACATGTACATTGTATTACACAAGAAAAAATAGCAAACCTGAAATAAATGAAATGCGAATAAAGACATGAATTTTGCATTTTCTAATGGAAAATTTATCAAATAATATATTTTAAATTAAAAAAAATATATAAATATCTAGCCATTTTAGAAAACTACATTGCTTATATGTAACACTTTTCATTTTAAATCGTATGTGCTTCTTAAAATTTCTGAGAATATGACTAGAGATTTAACCCAGAAATTCATTCATTCACAATACAGCCCATTATAAACACTCTGAATTGTCCACGGAATTTTATATTCCCAATCAAACAAGAAGCCTACGCAGGATGTGACCGGTCGGCAGGGGATGCTCACTCTTCCATGGCACCTGATTACACTTCTGATTTTGTTTGGGAGGTCTATGTTTGCTCTGCTTCAATTTGGTATTGTTTAATGGGTCCTTGAGCTTGAATACTGTTCGTTATCTCTTTTTTTATCTCTTTACCTCTTATATATATAGAATACCATATTCATGAATAACAGGGACGTAGCAACGGGGGGGGGGGGGGGGGGGCGGGCAGGGGGGGGGGGGCGGGCAGGGGGGGGGGGGCCTGCCCCCCCCCCCTCCCACTTTTTTTCCCAACATTACCTTTACTATTGAAAATGTCCATTGAAAGGTTGGTTGCCCTCCCCCCCCCCACTTCTTACCACAGTATAGTGATATGTATTCCTTGTAGTATTGTATGCAAAAAAATTGGACGTGAAAGGAAGTTGGCCTTGAAAAAAGTTTGCCACAACCCCCCAACCCCAACCCCACCCCCCACCCCCCTCCTACGAAATAGGACTTTCGAGTTTGGACAGTTTCCTTTTTTCTTTTTCTTTTATTTTTTTTTTTTTTTTTGCTTGTCAACTTTTACATGTAAGTAAAAAAAATTTTTTTCTCTGGTTGCCCCCCCCCCCCCCACTTTCAAAAACGATGCTACGTGCCTGAATAACGAAGTGTTCAATAATATTTGTTTAATATAAAATATCCGACTATTCTTGTGTTATCCTCCCGCTCTCCCAGATTTTTGCGATCTTCTAGTCATAGTTTAGATCCCGTCACCTAGCAAGTTCGTCGATATCACTAAAATGCATTATTTTCATCTATTATTTTCCAAAAATCTCAAGGTTTAAACATGTGTCCTTTTTTGGGGTTAGCATAATTTGTTATGGAGAGGTAGCAAAAGTAAGCGACTCCCTATCAAGAAAATACTATATTAAACTATAGTTAACTATAGTAAATCAAAGTTCCAAAGTTTTCACCATTGTAAATCAAAGTTGCAAAGTTTTTACTATAGTAAATCAAAGTTCCAAAGTTTTCACTATAGTAAATCAAAGTTCCAAAGTTTTAACCATAGTTAATCAAAGTTCCAAAGTTTTTACTATCGTAAATCAAAGTTCCAAAGGTTTTATCATAGTTATTCAAAGTTCCAAAGTTTTTACCATAGTGAATCAAAGTTTTAGATTTTTTTTAATAATTACTTTAACTTATATAATTTATTTAATTTATTTAATTATTTTCTAATTGTTTTAAAGGGATGATATTGGGTTTGTTGGGGCTGGTTTTTTGGTGTTAATCTGAATTTAAATATGCGTATATAAGACTTACGTTTTATGTGCACAACGTTAAATTAAATAAATTTAAATAAATATTGCTTATTTTGTCGGTGCCAGAGACAATTTTTGCATTAAAATTCATTTCTTGTACATTATTTTTTTTTAGGAGAGGGGTCGGGTTTTTAAAAAGTTCTCTGAAACTTTAATGAATCTTAACCTTGAAATTTCATAAAATATAGAGAATGGGAAGCAAAAACATAATTCCATAGCTTTTATAGTACTTAGTCAAAGTTCCAAGGTTTTCACTATAATAAATCAAAGTTCCAAAGTTTTCACCATAGTAAATCAAAGTTCCAAAGTTTTTACTATAGTAAATCAAAGTTCCAAAGTTTACACCATAGTAAATCAAAGTTCCAAAGTTTTCATCATAGTAAATCAAAGTTCCAAAGTTTTCACTATATTAAATCAAAGTTCCAAAGTTTTCACCATAGTAAATCAAAGTTCCAAAGTTTTAACTTTGGTACTATAGTGAACTATAGTAAACTATAGTTAACCATAGTTTACTATGGTATTTTTTGGTTAGGGCTATAACAGGAAAAATTTGAAATTTAATTTTGCTGTGATGCACGCGTTGTAAAATGTACTGATTTAAACCTTCCAATTATAGACTTTATTGACATAAGAATTAGCATAGGAATTTCTTCGATTTATTATACAGTGTATTTTAAATTTTATTATTATACCTCTACTGATTTTTTCCTATAGAAAAGTAAGGCAGTAAAATGTGCATAATTCCCAAAAAATCTAAATGAATGGACTAATTCCCCTAGCGTTAGTTAAATGAGCTAATCCCTGCTTCGGAAGCTAATTCCTCGGTTATCCGTAATCCTCTTGATCTTACTTTTGTATTGGTCAAATATGTTAATGGACTAATTCCCCGTGCGTTAGTCTTGAATCTAATTCCCCGCCATTCGTAATCCTGTATTTGTGTCTTTAAAAAGTATATCATTGAGGGACTTAGCAAGATTCAAGTTCCCCTCAACCAGGACTATTTCCCTCGGCACAATCTTGGGGAACTAGATCTTGCTAACTCCCTCAATGACATACTTTAACTGTATAATAATTATCTAATATTTCCATTTCTAATTATTTCTCTGTGATAACTCTTTGAAAGTTAGCGGAGTTGATTTCTTGATAATTTTTGCGGAATGTAAATTAGGCAGGTAGATAGGTCAGGAGCTAAGGCGCCTCATATGCACGCAATTCTCGTGCGCATCTTTCTCTGTGTCTGACGCTAAGGAGGCCAAATATGCATGTAAATTTCGTGCAGCTGTCTTCGTGTTTGACGTCAGTGGGCGAGGACTATTGAAATTGGCATGGGAGTCCTCGTGTACTTTAAATCTATGTCTACATTTTTAAAGTCTAAATCTACAATTTTATTTCCCAATGAAATGGAAATATAGGGAATCACTGTCTAGTTGTATATTATGCCAGGGACATCAACGATAGTGGGAAACATGGGATAATTTATGCATAACGGGCTTCATTATCCCATGTTTCCCACTATCGTTGATGCCCTGGCATATTATACTAACTAGACAGTGATTCCTCAATTAATGTTTGTCATACTAAAAAATAGCAAAAATATTGTTATTTTGCAACTGTCAATTTATGCACAAAAGGATCAAATAATGATACTTAATTTGTTTTTATTTACAGAAAACTAGCACCCCAATATCCAGCTTAGTAACTTCGCAAGAAAAGGATAACTCATTGCACAGTCACGTTATATATGCGAACACTCAAGACAAAAATAAAGCCTCATCTCTCAGTTGTTGTGTAATAGTTATGTGTTTGACGTTTGTTTCCCTACAATACTTAAAAATTTAGCCACTTCTTTCTGCAAATTGACTAAGTGTAAAAAGGTTAACAACTTACACCTATCACTAAAACATCCCATTGCCTGTAGACAGGCGCTCACCTGACATTTATTTATTATCATTCTTCATTTTGTTTTAGTTCTTGTTTAAGATTAGAAAATTTTACATAATCACACGTTTTGTTAACCGTTACCTTTCAATCGAATGAAAATTATATATGTATATTCTGTATATATTCTGCACATGCAGTCTGTGATAGATAAACACATTCCAGCTTCCGTAGTTACAGATCTAGTTGGTTGTTAATTAACAATCTGTAGTTACAGAACTATATGGTTGATAATTAACAATCAAATGAAGAGGGGTCTGTATCGGTGAAGGCGAAGAACAGCTTGTAAATTGTTCCTCACTCTCGGAAGGGAAATAGAAAATAATGTAATCAGAATGAGAGGCTATGGTTAAAAGATTATGATGTACATTGGAAATAGATGTCCTTCTAAATGAAATATGTATTGTTGTTTATTGTTTATAATTAAATCCAATAATTATCCATGTACCTATTGATCAGTAAAATATGTCTTACATGGACATTGTTTATTCTGATGAGATATGTAATTTTGTTCCTTTCGTAACTTTTGTTTACATATTATCTACTCTCTAATGGGTCCGGATTAAAGGTATATTGTCCTCAGATTGTGTTTACATGTTACAATATCAGTCTTTGGTTGTAAATTGTTTAATGGATTTTGAGCTTGAATACTGTTCGTTAATTGTTTGATGGACTTTTGTTCGTTATGTTCATATATTTCATAATCTCAAAAACTCGTATATATTCTTATCCGAGTTTAATTTGAAATTGTATTTACTTGAAAAGAAGAAAATGTATATCTAACAACTAAGCTCTATGATAAACGTGATGACTTTAACTTTTCTATCGTCAACTTCCTTTACTTCTGCAGCAATGTATCTTCGTCATCTGCAGTTGATTCGATACGCAAGAGCATGCTGTAAGTATGGACAATTTCTAAAACGAGATGAATTATTGACAAACAAGTTGATGAAACAAGAATTATAGCAGTCTCGTTTAAAGTCATCATTGGTAAGTTCTGTGGTACAATTACCTTCTCAACAAATCCAAATTACCATTGAGTCAAATGCTGACTGACGTTTCTTCATACTAATTGTTAGTCCATTATTTACACTGAATTAACGATAGATTTTTCCGTTATTTCCCACTCCTGACAAGGTGAGAAGGCGAATGTTACTGATCGGCAGGGATGCTCACTCCTCCATGGCACCTGATCCCACTTCCGATGTTTTGAAGGTCAGTGTTTGCTCTGCTCATATTTTGTATTGTTTATGGACTTTTGATCTTGAATACTGTTCGTTATCTCCATATGTTTCATTGATAAGATAATATTATATATCAAACAGTGTATTTGCAATCCATTTTTTTGCATGTATTACCGTTAATTGACAATTATACAAGAAATAGTGGGAGAGGGATGTTCATTAATAAAAAAAAAATTGCCCCCTCTAATATCACGATGTCGCTGTTGATTTTACGCCTTTATATGAATGCGTAATTCCAAAGAATTTCTTTTATTTTGCGCATTACATAGGGGTATATAGAATTAATTTATTATCGCATAATAGTTACTTGATCCAAATAAACGTATGACATTTTGTTGTACGGATCAACAGATCAATTAAGAAGTGATACGACTCTTCGGATGTAGTTTCTGTAATCAGGATATTTTTACCCATACCCCCCCCCCCACTTTAAACAAAAGATTACACAGAGTCTGACGCATCCGTTACATATTTGAATATTTAACTAAAAAATGGCGTCCGTTGTTACCAAACAACTAATTTTTATAATAAACATGATGACTTTCAAAGTGGTAACTTCCTTTACTTGTGTAGATATATACCTTTTCAGTCGTGCATGTATATTTTATAAATCCTTAATCATTTGATAATGAAGGACATGCTTTATGTACGGAATTTTTTTTAAAGAAATATGATCAGGAAATAACGGAAAAATCCGTCGTCAATTCAGTGTATAAATAATGGACTAACAATTAGTATGAAAAACGTCAGTCAGCATTTGACTCAATGATAAATTGTATTTGCTGACAAGGTCATTGTATCGACCATAGAACTTACGAAATGATGACTTTAAACGAGATTGCTTACATTCTTGTTTCATCAACTCGCTTGTCAATAATTCACCTCGTTTTAAAAATTGTTTATACTTAAAGCATGTTCTTGCGTATCGAATCAACTGAGATACATATACTCCGTATGCAGGTGATGAAGGTATATTGCTGCAGAAGTAAGGGAAGTTGACGATAGAAATTAAAGTTAAAGCCATTACGTTTACCATATAGCTTGGTTGTTAGATTACCATTAACGTCTTTTTTCAAAAAAGAATATCCAAGTATGAAACAGATGTGTCAGACTCTGCAGTATCTTTTATCTCAAGCTCACCAGGATATGTCGTATCGACGTAGGAATGGAAATTACCATGTTAATAAAATCATTCACAACTCAGCATTACTTTAAAACAAATTACATGTAGACCAGTCGGACTAGCAATTAATAATTTTACCAAACCTGACCTCAAGTTCACTAGACCTGACATTACAACTTTGAATCACTCAATGATACATTAGCTTTTTGCTAAAATACATGAAATATACGATAGCCGATATCAGCCTGTACATATTTCGACTGCTATTGAAATTTGTACATCTAAAATGTACGTTGACATGTACATTTTTCAATGACAGTGTACACTTTGTGCTTTTAACTTTTGTCTGTACATGTACATTTTTCAATGACAGTGCAGACTTTGTGCTCTTAATTTTTGTCTGTACATGTACAAAATGGCAAAAAGGCAAATGTCAAAAAGTGAACGGTTGAAACGCATATGCTCTTAATTACAATTACTGGTCGGCGAAAAACCATTAAATATGAATAAAACTGTACAACGGGGAAAAGTTGAACAATTAATATTAAAACAAGATTTGTTTTGTAAAACACTATGCCAGCAATGGTAACACAATTCGGGGGTGGAACGTAGACGTGGTATACACTTGTAAGATGTTTTAAGGGTGGCAAAGTCGTTTTTTCAAAAAAAGTATTGTTTTATGGTTAATTACTGAACACTTTATGAAACGCAATGTTACAGTTTTTCTAATGATGGTCAAAAGTTACAGTTGAGGTCACACTTTAATCTTACGTTATATTATCATGGTTAGTCTCTTACTCATATAAAGTCCTTTGTAACTTTCGTTTACTTTTGATCAAAGAGAACGGTAAACTATATAGTCATCATTTTCTGGGTTGGATGGAGGCAATTCATTGTGCAAGAAATGTTTGTGGAAGGTGATTTAAATCTATGGAAATTTCATTCTTTTGTAAAAGAAGACAAATTCTAACATTAGTTTTAATGTTCACAAGAATGTTTACATTTTCTTTTAATATTTTTCATCCTTTTTATTGCAAAATTAATCTTCTCAGTGCCTTGTCCAATTTTATTCATAATTAATCGTTTTTCGCCGACCAGGAATTGTAATTAGAAGCAAATGTGTTTCAACCGTTCACGTTTTGACATTTGCCTTTTTGTCATTTTGTACATGTACAGACAAAAGTTAAGAGCACAAAGTGTGCACAGTCATTGAAAAATGTACATGTCAATGTACATTTTAGATGTACAAATTTCGATAGCAGTCGGAATATGTACAGGCTGATATCGGCCATCGTAGAAATCAACATATATTTTGAAAAATTAAAGGAAGTGATATCTTGTTTCAGTGCAAATCAGATATACTCTTAAGAATTCCAAAATGAAACATCCATAATTTGTACAAAATTTCTATATTATTTTCATTAATGCACAGTCATTTATAATTTGATGAAGAGGATATAAAATTTACTTAAAAGTCAGGTATCTTGAATGTTTATATCAAGTATTGATAAACGACAATTCTTTTAATATTTCTTTTATTCAATGTAGAAAAAACTTATTTGTATAAGCAAATAAAAGTTTTGATTTGACTAGAAAACATAATATCATATTCATCAATGGTCACAAGATGCTAAACAGAGCAAGTTTAGAGTTAAATTCGGCACGCCTTGCCCTTTGTTCTCCATGCGACCACAGTACTGCTGCTCTACTGGCATCGTAATCCTTAGATTCTGGACCTGCAATAGATATAGCCATCACGTAGTTGAACATTATACAATTATGGACTTCAGTGTTGGTCGATATGTGGTTATAAGGACTCATGGCAACTGATATTGACCGAAGACACAGAAAGTGATAGCGCCCGAGCCTGCGAGATCGCTACTGCATTGATACCACAAAAAGAGGAATATCACGTGACGTACTTTCAGCCAATGAAAACTATGTAAATAGTCTTCTTATGTAATATTTGAGAGTTCAGACTTGCCCTCCAACCTGATTTCATTTTAGTTATGACAGGAAACCCACGTTCACAGATGAAGCTGGACATCGGAACACACAAGATGTTTAGTATTTCAGCAGGTATAAGTTGGTTTCTGAACGTGTCCTTTAGGCTTGGATCACAAAACAATCTCTGATAAACCCATGTATTCCGATTGCAATGTTTTAACATCTCATGTGAACTTTCACATCTGGCCATTCCACCTGCTTTTGTTTTTGAACATTGCAGTTCATCCTATTCACGATGACAGTATATAGAACTCACAGAAGGCATTCATCTTCTGTTCTCCATACATTCCTCTTGAACTATCTGTTTCAGGTAGGTTAAAAGGATAAAAACTTGCAGATCCTTCAATAGGTAGTCTGAATCTATATCTCCTACTCGTTTGTAAATATGGTCAATAACAGATTGAAGAAGGCCATGCTGTTTCCTTTTTAACTGATCAGGTGTGGAAGTTGGAGCAAGAAAGTTATCACATTTGAATCTGTTTCCATCACTAATATCACCACGAAAGAACTGCAACTTTTCTCCAGGCCTTTGCTGCAGTGCTACAAATTGCAGAGTAGCAGTCTCTAGAGCCTC